ATAAAAAGCTGGGGGAGAGGCAGACCTGAATCTGTAGTCCCAGAGCTTGCAGCAGAGAAGGATGGAGACAGGTAGATTCCTAGAACTTTTGGCCGGCCAGCCTAGCAGAATCGGTGAGCTCCAGGTCCAGAGACTCTGTTTCAGTAAACAAGATAGAGGACAGTTTAGGAAGATACCTAGTGTTGACCCCTGATTTCCACATGTGTGCAACACACATGCTCATGCACACACTGTGCATACAGCCACATGAACACATACATATCACCCGGACATACAAGCATGCACACAGGCAGGTAGGCTGGCACATACGCATGCTCACACGCATTCCTAGTGTTTGGTGGGGGTAATCCTGAGATCTAAGGCAGATATTTTTAATGAATAACACAAATTGTTGCAGGTTTTCAACAAGAGCTTAGAGGCTGTGGTTTACCCATAATGGGATGTGGGGATGGATCTGGTTGCCCTTCAAGACGTGTGGCCTGGATGTGGCACAGAATTTGGCTGCTCTGTGTGGTGCGCCTCCACTGTGTGACCTCCAGGGAGCCACTTCGTAAAGCAAGCAGCAGCCAATGACTTGTCCCTAATGAGGCAGAGGGCAGGAAAATGGTCCTAAGTTGCAGGACAAGTCACTGAACTGGAGCTGGTACAAAGATCTCAAAGGGCCCCATCTGAATGCCCTCAGCACCTCAGGATCAGGGTGGAGAGCAGCTGTTTCAATATCAGAGTGATGTGATGCTGCCATTTCTTGGCTGTGTCCCCCTTGCCCTCTCCACCTGCACTTTTCACAAACGCCCAGCCCTCAAGCAAGAGCTGAGATCTCATTTTTTTTGGGGAAAGTGAGATGCAGCGTTGCCTGACAAATGGGTGGGTCCCCCCACCCACCCGGTTTACGAGCACAGGGTGGCTCCCTCCTCCTTAACATCCTCCCTCTCTTTATGGCCCTGCGCAATCTTTGATGTCTTCTTCTAGAGCAAGGGTGGTAGGGGAGAAAGAAACCAGCCTTAGCCTAGGAGATCCTCCCAAGAAATTCTCAGGTGAGGGAAGGGGCTCTAGGGAGTAGGGCATGGAGTCAGCATAAAGAACTGTGAGCTGGATAAACAGAGAATCCTCTCCCATCTGTGTGTCTTTGAGAGACACCGGTGTTGTGGTTCGTCTTCTTCAATGGTGTTAGAATACACATGGGTGAGTCGGACCTGGGTTCAGAGCTTGGATCTTTAGCTTTTCACCCTAGGCAGGTTGCTTAACCCTTTGAGCTTTGTTTACTAATTTAAAAAGAGTTATACACCACTCCTCTCATAGCACAACAAGAGAACTAAGCAAAACATGCATGTAAAGAACCTATTGGTGTGTTGCAGCTAAGCCCACCCCCCCAATTTAAAGATAAGTGCCTTAACAGCCAGCACTCCTCTAGCTTGCTTCCCCAGACTCCTTCACCTCCTCCAGCATGAGCCTCTTCACCCTGTCTCCACATTATGGTAAAGAAGCAATTTTTGCTAAAGCAGACCCCACTTCCCTTACAAATGTACAAAGCCACCAGGATGCATGCCAGATTTCTTTTCAGACCTCTGGGATCTCCAAAGCTGTGACTGAAAAGGATGGACAGAAAGCCTCTTCCGCCTGGCGAATCCTGCAAGCAGTCATCTTCCTACTTGACAGTGTTCCATCTCTGCCATGTTCCCTCTCTCTTCCATTAACATGATTTTATTTGCTTTGCTCCTTTTCTTGTCCATCTATAATTTTTATTTTATAGCTGTACCATAATGGTCTGGGGCCATCCCTACTGAATCACCAACTGGTCTTACTTTAGAATTTAATTTGGTTTTATTAAAATTACCAAAATTCTCCCTGGGCAGGTGTAGACCTGGGCAGGGCACAGCTCTCTGTGTTGTTGGCTGTGAGGCCTCTCCCCCACTGGTCCATTTCCAGGCTCTGTAGTTTTGGTTCAACCACAGATGGTGAGTGTTCCTGCTCACACACTGTGTGTGTGTCTCTGTGTGTGCCTCTGTCTCTGTTTCTCTGTCTCTGTTTCTCTGTCTCTGTCTCTCTCTCTGTGCACTCATTTATTTAAAGGTAGCTTGAAGTAGATATTTTCCAAGTGGACAAGTTCTTTGTGTTTCTAGAACTGTGAAGTTTGCACAGCTTAGGGAAGGAGCTTCATCTTAAGGGTTAGAGCAGCTAAATGCATGGCCTTCCTGCCAGCACCAGGGGCACAGACATATCCTGACATGCAGGCACCACCGAAATTAATTCTCCGCATGAAGTCAGCCACAGTCATGGGCTTTCTGCTGCTTTGGACCTTGGAAACTTCTTTCAGGGAAGTGGAGGAGCAAAGCTCGGGAGGAAAACAATTTCCACATGGATTTCCCAACATGCACGTTCTTTCTCCCCTTGAACAAAGGTCTCTCCATGAGGATTTTAAGTCTTGGGATGGGGCAGGGGCTAGACACTGAAGTTGTAGAAGAGGAAGTGCGATCCAAAGAAAAGGAAAGAGTCAAACTTAAAAAGGAACCATACCATGGAATTCCTCATCTTTATCCTAGAAGTTGGTCACTGTCTCCCGAGGCCACTGATCTACATAGATCCCACAGATAGGTGGACCTCAGAGTAGGCTTTGGACTCAGCTCCACGGGCATCTTTAAATTGTTCTCCTGCCTAAAGAGAGACATCTTCAGCTAATGAGGGTGGATGTCTTCTTCTGCCCTCCCAATCCCATCTAGTGTCTAAGATCTGGAGGAGGATTTTCTCATTTTGTTTGTCTCCTAAAATCACAAACATTTCTCAGGACCTGGGAAGAGCTGCCAGATGGGGAATATAAACCACACACTTCCTTAGTAGAGAATCCCATAAAACTGGGCCAGAGAGAGGTTGTGAGTTTCTTTAGGAACCTCAACCGGTTCCACTTGCTGCTTTGCTTGGCTGAATTAGTCGACATCAAATCTGACTGCAGTTTTTAAGAGAAGTAGGTATAAAGATTTTTTTAAGAACTGGTTTTGTATTGGGACTAATGCTGGAACTCAGTTCTCCCTTATAGATCTAATTTCAAATCTTGACTATTAAATGAGAAAAGAGGACATCAGAGGCCGACTGACTTTGGCATTGAAAATGGAATTTTTCTCACTATTCATCCTTTCCTTAAAAAATAAATAATGTAACTTGGAGAATATGATTATCCTAAAACACTTTATTTTTTAATTAAAGAGGGTTCATTATACTGCCCGTCTCATCTCGTCCCAGAGGAGGGAAGTCCTATGCTCAGCAGGTTTGCTAAGAAATAATTATAGGTTCAGCTCTTCCCCAGGCCCCGAAATTCAATTAAATTTTTTTTGTTTCAAGTTGCTCGCAGTCATGTGGGGGGTGTGTGTGTGCGTGTGTGTGTGTGTGTGTGTGTGTGTGTGTGTGTGTGTTTGCATGTGTCTTGGTTTTCCTCACAACAGTTCATGCGAATGGGTCCTCACATCCAACAGTCACCACCACTCCAGACCCCAGCCCAAATTATTTGGCTACTTGTGTGAAAGGAATCTTTGTTTTTGGTAAGAATCACTTCAGTTGTCTATGAGTCCTGAGGCTGAGCTCTTTCAGGTTATTCTGAGTTAGCTTAGAGTGAACCAATGGCTCTTGACCACCACTGTGTTTTAGGATCCATCTGGGGAACTTAGGCTCAGTGAAGGTGCCTCCCAGATGCATGGGTTCCACTGATGTGGCATGGGACCCCTCACAAGTATCTTATTTTTTGTTTTGTTTTGGTTTTTAGAAACAGAGTCTCTCAGTGTAGCCCTGGCTGTCCTGGAACTTGCTCTGCAGATTAGGCTGTCCTCAGACTCACCAAGATCCACCTGCCTCTACCTTCTAAGTGGGCATGTGCTACCACTGCCTGGCACAAGCATCTCTTAAAAGCTTCTCTAGTGATAGTAGCCTGTAGGCTGGGCTGAGAACCACTGAAGAGATGACTGCATTCAGCTGGCATAGGTTAGGTGGGGATTCAGTGATTAGTTAAAGACACCCGAACTAGAGCGTGAAGCCAGTGTTTGGTGGCCTCCACGCTCAGCTCATAGTATAGTTATTTTAGGTATGTGAGCATAGGGCTAGGGGTGGTTTCTTGTCATTTCTAGGCTAACTCTGAGTTTATATTTAAACCCAGGAAGTAACAGTCATCCATAGTTGTGCCCATTACTACCTCTTTCTCATGCCAAGAAGGGCAATTCTGTTGTGTGACTGCCCCTGTTTACATGAAGAAGGGTTTTAGGAAGGACAGCAGAGGCTCTGACAAACCTGGTGTTAGCAACTGGAACACAAGCACCCCGGACATTCTGGGAGATGGAGCAGTGTTTATGGGTGCATTTAAGCCATGGTTGACCTATCCTTTTATATAAATAAAATAGCTGCCCCCACACCTCCAGGCTTCGGGGCACAAGCCCTCCTAGCAGCCAGGAATATAGAAGGAGGGAGGGTAATGCTGTGTGAGGCCAGATTCTAACCAGGTAATAAACCAAAAAAAGACATGGCTAATCAAAATCTAATAAATGAACTAATAAATAATATAAGTGTGCTATGAATCTCTATATATTCTAGCACATAAACATATATAGGCTTATATATATTAGGACTTATATAATATATGTGTGAACTTAAATAGAGGGGTATAAACTTATTTATATACCTACACTAGCCTTATGGGGCAGGGATGTTATGATGCAGATATCTCAAGCATATTTTTGAAAAATCATAGCTGTTTTCATGGAAAAGTCCACCAACATCCTAATGTTTTCAAGTATGTAGACTAATGAGATGTGTGTGTTTTCTACTGGTATATAGATTTTTATTATTGCTAGGTTTTTTCAGAGGAAAGAAATTGAATCTGTGCAGAGAGTCAGAGTGAGCAATTCAGACTCAGATCATTTACATTCATTGTCTGGGTCTAGACCCCTCCCTCTCTTTTGTGCTGCTTAGATATGACCTTTGATAATTTGACGCAGTTGGACACATTCCACTTTGCTTTTCAGAATACCGGTGGGTGATGAAGAACCCTTGAGTCTATCCCCTGTATCTACACTCTCATAGAGAAGAAGGGTGGAAAATACTCAAGAAACAACCAGGAAACATAATTTCAATTTGACATAATGACATCAGCATTCCTGCTCTCAGATGGGCATTCAGGCATGTACACATGGACTCATTCTGGGCTTTACTGACAGCAGATCCATGGAGTCGGGGGAAGAAGGTGAACTTAGATAGTCTCCAGAGACGACAGAACGAGACACATGCCAGCATGTGTTTGTCACAAAAGAGTTCAGCTAAGAACTTGTTTCCAAGCCAGTCTTTACTGAATTTTTGCAATGTCTGCTTATTTGGAAGCACAGTGTAAGTCCATGTCTGAGCCTGTAGAGCCCCATCTCCCCATACTGCTTGTGATAGCTGGAGTCCCAGGTTCTACTATGGACAACTCAGGCCGCCAGGAATCATCCACCACTGTCTTCTGCCCTGTGGATAGTCTGGGCCAAGATGACTACTGAGGCTCCCAAGGCTCTGATTTACAGGTCCATTTGTGAAGGTTTTTTATGAGAAGGAATATAGATGGGTTTTAATAAAACTCTTCTCTCTCTCTGTCTCTGTCTCTCTTGGTCACTCTCCCTCTGTCCCTTTTCTTTCTGTCTCTGTCTTTGTCCCTTTCTCTCTGGAATGGCTCTGCAACACTATGACTTTAAACATGCATCTCATTCTTCTAACTGTGCCTCTTGGTGAAGTCAAAATGAGGCCCCTGAGAAACAAAAGCAACCTAACCTCAGATAAAGACAACCTGGGCTTCTCATGGACAAAATGAAGTGAAAGGGCGTGGTGAGGATTGCTTGGTCTTGGCCATCGAATTTTAGAAGTACAGATGAAAAGAAGCTGGTGTAGTTTGTCCTGAATGCCATCTCCACTTTGGTGTGGAGTTTGTGAAGACAGACGGAATGGTTCTGTGAGTATCATAGATGTTGTTGGTTTCATCCTCATTTGTTAGAATGGACCCCACGGTTTGATGGCTCTTGGAGATTCCAGGGTCATGTGACACACAGAATAGTGATGTGAGGCCCAGAGGATTGGACTTGCTATTCATCTTCCCATTTAGTAAAGGATTTTAAGCCCTTACATGCACCGGGAACCATGATAGGTACTGAGGTGGCAAAGAACAATTATTTATAAGATATTTATGGTACTAATGGATGAGCTCACACATTAACAGGTAAGTGTGATATGTTTGAAACGTGATTGGAATGATGCAGAAAACATGACTGCACATGAGAAGAATCTCATCTAGTTTGAGGGCTGGGTTTGGGGAGGGTGGATTCTCAAGGAGACGAAGATGAAAGCTGGGTTTTTTTTTAATATTTAGTCACTTGGTCCTGACTATAGTGTTGTGTTTATTGAATAAACTGATGGAGTATTTATTAAGTGTCAGGAATGCAGTGGCAAAGCACTGGATAGGAGTCAGAAGGTCTGGGATCTGGTCTGAGCTCTGCCCTTGCAATCTGTGGCTTGGCCATGTCACTACTTGTCAAGATAAAATTAGAGGAAGATTCAGGACCAATACCTGTCCACCACTTCCCTGTTGAGAAAGAAGATGGTTTCTCTTTTCAGTCGGAGAGAAATAAAATCAAAGCTTTCTTTCCAAAGCCCATTCCTAAATTACTTGTTAACTTTGTAAAATTGTCCTTTCCCAATTTTCTATGACACTTTAAAAAGTATTTAAATTTTTTCTGAAGAGAGTAGGTATGGCACTACCTTTTTTTTTTTGCAAAATTTAAGACAGATTGGATGTCATTGAAGAGACTGGAAATGGGGGAAAAGTAAAGTAATATTTAAGAACTCACTCAGCCCAGTATTGTGACTCATGCCTAGAAGTTGAAAATGGCAGAGCCTGGGAACTATATGGCATCCTCTTCACCAGGACTTTGATTCTACACTTGAGCCTGGAAGAAAGCTAGACATTGCCCAGAACATCCTGCCCATGTGGGAACAGCAGGGCTTGCCTCCCTTTGACCATGTTTTCACTCCCTTTTCCTTGAAGGAAGGAGGATGAGGTACAGATATCTTCTGCCTGATCAAACAGCCTTGAGTGAGAGTTAAAGGCCTGACCTGGCTAGAGGAGCCTTTGTTCTCTGCCTCTAGATCTGAACACCCTGGTTTACCAACAGCCTTCCCTTCTGCAAAATGGCTGTGAGAACTCCTATACTTTTTATCATTCAATGTACTTTTCTTCTGTAGTGTCCATCCTGGTAATTCTCTATAATGATCAGAATTATAAATTGTCTTTCCCTAACCAGACAGTAATATTCCTGAAGGGAGGACATGTTTCCCTTTCCACTTATTCCTACTTCTGCAAATTAGTGAATCAATGCTATTTTCACATAAATGAATGAATGGTGCGTTAAGATCACCAGTTCTATCACATAACCAACATACGTGATGCTTATTATGGCTGATCCTCACTTATTTGTGAGTTACATATTTCTAAACTTATCTACTTGCTAACTTGTTGGTGGCACCTAAATCAGTACTTTGAGAAACATGTAAAGCTGAAAGGTCTTCCTTTTCAAATATATATGTACACATACACACACACACACACATACACACATATGTTTCTATGTGTTCACCAAGTGCTGACTGGTACCTGTGCAGGCCAGAGGAAGGCTTTGGATCCTCTGGAAATGGAGTTAGAGATGGTTGGGAACCTCCATGTGGGTTCTGGGAACCTAACCCAGGTCCTTTGGAAAAGCAGCCAGTATTCTTAATCACCAAACCATCTCTTCAGCCTTTTGTCATATACATTTTTGGTTGAGTAGGGTGGTGTGTGTATATTTACAGTTCTAACATTTGGGATCTGGAGGCAAGAAGATCAGGAATTCAAGATCATAGGCAGCTACATAAGTAGCTCGAGGCTATATTGGGCTACATGAAACTCTCTCAAAATGGGAAAAATTAACTTGAAAAACAATAATTGTACATTGTACATATTCTTGCATGTGAAATATGAAGTCTATCTCAAAGAAGCAAAAAATAGAATGGTGGTTATCATAGGCTGGGGGATAGAAGGGCTGGGGAGATGTTCATGGATATAAAGTCCAGATATAAATAAAGGACATGAATAAATAAGGGGAATAAGGTTTTGTTTTCTTTCTTTTTTTAAAGATATATTGAATAGCATGGTAGACACAGTAAATAATAATGTATTGGCCATTTCAAAAATGTTAAGATAACAAAAATGTTTGGGAGCTAGGTGTGTGCCACAGTGGTATCATGCTTGTCTAGCAAATGTGAGGCCTTAGATTCAATTCCTAGTACCATTATAAATGAATGAATAAATAAACAGATATTTGAGGACATGGATATGTTAATTAGCCTGTTTTAATTATTTTTACACTGTGTCAATAAATCAGACCATCATTTTGTACCTATGAATACAACCGTAATTTTTCAATTTATAATTAAAAATAAATTGTAGAGAGGAAAAGTGTAAAGTGTTGTTTGTCAACTAGATTCTCAGTTCCCCGTGCTTGGGGATGAAAGCTTTTACTCTCTGTTCCCATCTAACCTAACAGAGCACATTTACCAAAAGACAATGTTTAGCACTTGCTGAAGTTTGCTTCTTAAATTTCCCCAAAGGCCCATGTGTTGGTTCCAAGTGTAGCCCTGTTGGGAAATGGTAGAAACTTTAAGCCGTGGGGCTTAGTGTATGTGTGTGTGGGGGTCTTAAACATGAGGGGAGGGTGCACTCAAACAAGGTTGCTGGAGCTCAGCCTCTTGTTCTCTCTCTTCCTTTGCCTCTCAGAAGGAGGTAACAGCTTGGCCGCACCCAAGGCTTTCTGCCAGGACATTCTGCCTCAACACAGACCCAAAACATCAAAACCAATTGACCATGTTCATCCAGAGCTTCACCTTAAATGAGAGTCTCCTCTTTGTAAGTTGACTACCTCAGAAATTTTTATAGTAATGCAAAGTCAATGAATATAGCTCTGTAATGTTTAAAAGAAAATTATACCTGCAATAAATGATCTGAAAATGAACTTAAAACAATAGCACTTAAACAGTATCATCAAGAAAAAGAATTAATTAAGAACACATTTAACAGAGGAAGCCTAAGGCTCACACTCTGAAAACTATAAAACACTGTTGAAGGCAATTAGAGAAGACCTAGAGAAATGAGAAACAGCCCATGTTGGGCTTGAGAGATGGCTCAGTGGTTAAGAGCACAGGCTGCTCTTACAGAGAGGATCTGGGTTCAATTTCCTGCACCCACAAGTCCCAGGAAATTTGAAACCCTCTTCTGTCCTTTGAAGGCATGTATGTACATGATGCATAGACATACATGTAAGCAAAACATAAGTTCTTGTTCTTTTAAAGAAAAATAAATCGGGGTTTTTGTTTGTTTGTTTGTTTTGTAAAGCCTGTATTCATCACAATACTTCCTAAACTGACTGACACAATTCCTTCCAAATCCCACCAGGTTTCTTTGCAGAAACTGACAGTTGGAGCCTAGAATTCACACAGAAACCTAAAGGAGCTCAAATAGTCTAAACAATCTTGAAAACCCAGAACAAGGTTGGTTTCTGGTTCAATTTATGGTTGCATTAGGAGTTATTAGAGATTATTCTCTAGTGGTGAGGGTTAATTTGGAAGGCTATATCAGTATTGGAGGTAAATTTGTCAACTTATGAAAGACAATTTCATATTTCTTGATATCAAAACTTAGTAATAAAAGTAATCACAGAGGAGGCATAAGGACAGAAAAATCTTTACCCAAAGAAATAGAATGGGGAGTCTAACAGCAAACCTTCACATTTCCTGTTCATTCATTTCGACGTGAGTGTCCTGACAATCTAATGGAGAAAAGGATAGACTTTTGAAATAGTCCTTGGAGCATTGGATGGATGCATATAAGAGAATTAAGCAAGAGTTCTACATCACATTTCACCCAAAACATAAGCTAAAAATGGTTCAAAGACAAATTCTCCAGTTGAAAATGGCAAAGGATCAGAATAGAGCTCCTGCCACACACACCCAAGGAACACATACAAATAGCCAATGAACACACAAACTATTCCTAACATCATTAGCTTTCAAGGGAATGCACTTCAGAACTGCAGCAAGAGGCTGGCGGGTGGCTCGGGTGGGAAAGCACATATGGTGCAAGCATGGGCCCTGAGTTTAGATCTCCAGCACCAACATAACAGCCAGGCGTGGTGGTGCACGTCCATGACCCCAGGGCTGGAGTGGCAGAAACAGGGGCAGACAGTGTAGCCAATTGATTCAGTGAGAGACCCTGTCTAAAAATAAGGTGCAAAGCAATCAAGGAAGATGCCTGACCTTGATCTCTGACCTCCACATGCATCCATACACAAGTACGCACACGCACATGAACATGTACAGACACAAGCAGCACAGTGAGATACTACTTCACATCCACTAGGGCGACTGTGGTAGCAATAACACAAATGAGCCGATAACAAAGGCTGATGAGGACGCAGAGCGGTTAGACCTTCCATACTTTGCTGGTGGGGATCTCATGCAGCTCTTTGGAAAAGCAGCCCTGTAGCTCCTCAAAGTGTCCTGCTCACTGTTCATCCCAGCCATTTCACTTCCATGACACAGCCAGGAGGAAAGAAGCTGGGAACCCACCTAAAAGCCCATTCTGAGCTGAAAGCAGAGGCAACCCAAGTCGGCTGATGTTAGAGAAACTGAAATAAAATACTGTTTGGCAATGAAAAATGAAGAGTTCATACGTGTCACTCTATGCACTCTGGAAACATGTAAATCCGTGTGCTGTTTGATTCTGTTTATATGAACTGTTTAGAGGAGAGTAAATGTATAATGAAAGAGCGAATCAGTGGCTGCCTAGGATGAGTGATGTTGAGGAGAAATGGGAAGTGACTGCTAACTGCTGTAGGTTTCCTCTTAGCGGTGACTGGACAGGTCTGTAAGTATACTAGAAACCACTGAATTCTGTGTACACTTTAAATAGGTGAATCATGCAACGTGTGAAATACATCTCAATAAAGCATTTTAAATCCTTATAATACAGTTCCTGCCCTCAGGGGCCCTCCACAGTAACTAGAATTTTATTGTTATTGTTCTTCATCTTTAATGGCTGTTCCTTTTTGAAAATGTATTTATTTTTCCATTGGCCACTGGAGTATAGTGCTTGGGGTGAAAGTTGCAAGAAAAACATAGGAGCCGCAAAAACAAGCCCAGAGAATGGGGCAGAGGGCCACTGAAGTAGGTCTGCCTTGAGATGGCCATTGGGAAGCAGCTCATTCTTGGGTGGTTTTGGCAAAAGTGCTGTCTTCAAGGGTTCAACTCAAATGTTCTCATTGATTTCTGCTCCTGGTGGTGTCTGGGACTGACTACTCCTCTGAATCCCTGACATTAAAAAGGTAAAATACTAACCTTCTGCCTGAAAAAGCTTGAGGCTCAAGGAATGCCATTGAGAAGTCGCTTCCATCTGGACAGTAGAAAGGAGGCAAAGAGTTGGAAAAAGACTAAGGAAGTCTGAATGGAACTTAGACTCAACCTGAATCCATGTGCTCGGGGAAGGAATTGAGCCCCCCCCCATGATGGTTGTGAGCCTAATCCTGGCTCCTTTTCTTCCTCCAGACTCTAGACTTGAGAGACCTGTTGCATCCATTTGTTCTGAACAGCCAGGTTGATGGGATCCTTTCTTAACAGAACAGATATGCAAGAAGCAGAGAGCTCTGCAAAACAAATGAAAGAATGGGATACAAGAATTAGCTCTGCTGCTACATAGATGGCTCAGTGAGGATGGTTCTTGCTGCCAAGATCCCACATGGTGGAAGGAGAGAAAGGATTCCCACAAGTTGCCCTCTGAGCAACACACATACACACCGTAATGTGTGTGCCCATATACACACCATAATGTGTGTGCCCATGTACACACTATAAATAAATGTCATTTTTTTAGTGGCTGAGCTCTGGTCATTTGGAAACTTTTAGCATGATGGGGAAGCAATACTCAGATGGGAGAATTAAAAGCCAAACAAGTAGTAGACTTTATTTCAAAAGCCACTCACAGTGACTGGACAATAGTGGTGCACGCCTTTAATCCCAGCACTCAGGAAGCAGAGGCAGGTGGATCTCTCTTTGTTCAAGGCCATCCTGGTCTACAGATTGAGGTCTAGGACAGCCAGGCCTGTTACACAGAGAAATCCTGTTTAGAAAAACAACACAACACAACAACAACAACAAAAACACTCTTGAATGAGAACATCCATGGCTAGATTCTGAAAAGTAAGTCCCGAATGCTTGCTGCAAGAAGAAATTCCAGCCGTAATGATGTATGCTGACATGGCTGAGGAGATCTTCCTACCTGGAGTGCTGGGCTTTAGTCAAGGGAACAGACTCTGCACTGCGCTGGTCATGTGGCCTTTGCCAGCACATTTGGAGTGTGACTGACTGAATCCCAGCTAAGGGCCAGCCAACAAAGCAAGCATTGGGGAATATGAAGGAAGACACACTAGGTGAATGGGTCCTTCTGGAGAAGTCCATGCACTCATGTGACAGTGAGTTAGGAGCCTTTGCTGCCTTGTGGGTTGCCTGCACCAGAGCAGATCCATGCTCTGCTCTCTGGCCAGTTTTACTCTCTGCTCTTCTTATCCCAACTTGCCTAATTGATACCTTGGCCGATGGTGTCATTAGCAATGCTTGAATAATAGCTGGACTAGCTGATTTCAAAATGGCAGAGGTGATTAATATGTAGGAAATCCAGTGTGGAGGCGGCAGGGAACAGGGAAAGAAAGAAACGGAAGATGAGGGAGGTATCCTTCTGCAGCCCCTCACTGCCCATCTATCACCATCAAGCAGAAGGAAGGGCTTAGGGATAGGAGTCTAAATCCCAGCTCTTGGTTTGCTGATCCCCTCCAGTTCCCTCCCTCCCCCAGCAGCACACGTTCCGACACCTACAAGCTCGTTACATGATGATGGCCTATATTTTTATCTTTTTTATGAGCATCAAACACACATCGTCTTGCAAGCACATGTGTTTTTCCCCTATTGACGTGAGTGCCTTTGATGGTAATTTATTGTAGGGTTGAGCAGCCAGGTCTTAATTGTACCCTAAAATTGCTTACCATTTTGATGCCTCCAAACCATCCCAAAATGTACCTTTTTCCTCCAGAAGGGTGTGGGGCCATCCCTTTGTTACTGTCATCTGCAGTGGAATGCAGAGCTTAGAGAGAGCAGGAGGGAGAGATTCTCCAGTTGGGTTTCAGGGACGCCTTCGTCCCCAGCTTCTAATTGCAGTTGGGTGGTAGGAAAGTTTTGCTATACTCAGCAAAAATGAACTCCTGTTCTCCTTCATGCTTTAGGGTCAACATGGCTTTACCAGTGGCTCAGAATGGTCAACGCAGTTATAACTCCAGTTTTAGGCTTTGGAGGACATTTCAGCGAATTTAGCTTGGATCACAAAGGAAAACTGTCAGGCACTCACCTAGGGAGTCTGGCAGCTAACCCAAAGTGAATTATGCTTCTGAAGTCACTTTGTAACAGCTCCCACTCCCACAGCTGACCACTCCCTTACCTGGCTTAGGTCAAATTCAACAACCCTATTCAATATCCAGGGGAAACAGAGGAAGGGAAAGGCAGGGAGAAAGGACTAAAGAATATAAGCAGGGCTTAGTCTTAATCATAATTTGAATTTGAGCTTAATAGCCTTCTTTGCTCTACCTCACTTGTCCCTCGGAACGATAGACAGCATCATACCCCAGCAGACTCATAGTCATTACAGAAGGATGAGTCAATGTTACAGAACAACCAGAAATGTAAGCCATGTCTCATGAAAATGTAAGGGGAAAGGGAGACTGAAAGAAATCGCTGCTTCTTTCTGGGGAAGCAGGTTTTGGTGCAGCCCAGGCTGGACGCTGCTCTACCCCTGGACCAGTTCTTGTTAGCTTTTGTCGCACACTCTCCATCGCAGCTGTGCTCATGAGTCCTCTGTCCTCCACACTCATCACATGTACCTGCTCGTACTTGTCTCCACGCAATCATACAGACTGCTTTCCTCCTCCCCAAAAGCAGGCATGGCTTCTCAGTCCTCCCTGTTGGCCCTGATTATTCCCTCCGGGTGTCAATGGTCCTGAAGAAGCTTCTACCAGAAAAGCCTTAACTGACTTGTAGGACTCCATCATTCCAGAGCATTTTATCATCTCCCACAAGGTCTCTGAAGAGACTGCACAGCCATGAACCTTTTCACTGAGCACAAAGTCAGCACCTTTACCTTTAGGTGATTTTAAAAATTTTCTTCTGCTAAATGTCTTCTCAAGAGATACTTGGCACTCTTCTTTGGTCCCTGATTTTTATACCCATGGCAATGAAGTTGTAAACATGCAGATGGACCTTATAAAGACCGCAACTTCCATGATCAGTTTGACATGAAATCTCATTTTTCTTAGAATAACTGCAAGACTGCAGTTCTCAAACTTCCAAACACCGGTTATCTGGAGAATTCCAAGAAATAAGGTGTATCAATTTCAATTATCTGGTTTTCCAGTGCAGAGGGAATAAAATTCAAATGCTCAGAACCCTCCATGCTGACAGGGCTCTTGATTGACATCTACAACTCTTTTTATAACCCAGACTACAACCTGGTAGGTCTGCTTTGAGTTCCCTAAACTGCAATCCTCTTTTGCACACAGACCACGGCAATGCTTTTCTTTCTGTCTGGGTTGCTGTTCCTTTCCGTCAATGTACGAAAGTCTGGTTGAAAACCTTACCCCCAAGTGCTTCCTAGACCTCTGGTGATATTTTTTTTCTGTTCCCTAACTCCAGTGCTGTACTATTTGAACTTCTAGTTATAGCACTGTTTCTTATTGTAGTACTTACAATTGTGTTTGTATCTTTCACCAGTTTGTAGGGTTTGGGGAGGTGAAGATTGTGCATTTCTGGGCTGTGTATTCCTAGACTCAGTGTGCTGCCCTGTATAATAGGTGTCTGAGATGCACAGATCACCTTGGAAAAGAGAACCAAACTGTTCACTCTGTCTACGGTTGCTTTTCTACTGTACCATGGTTTGCTCTGTCAGGTCTGCACATTCTCCAGCTCTGCGTATGATAAGACAAGAACATCTGAAAAGAAATTAGGCAGAAGGCGAGCTGGTGCGTTTTGAGGACAAATTCTAACAGATTCCTCCTTGGAAATTTTCTGGACTGGTGTAGTGTTCCTGCTCGGCAAAGGAACTGAAGGGATGTGTGTCCAGGTCCACCCCCGGAGAAAGCAGGATTGGCAGAGGCAGCTGAGGATGGGAAAAGACTAGCAGCCCAGAACAGGGTTTTGTATGTCAGCAAAAAAGGGCCATGTACTTGCTTAAAGGTGCCCATTTCACTCTTGGCACCGATCTTGCTTCTGGATGCTCCAGTAATGTCACCGGCAGCAGTTTTCCTGCTGGAGTACTTAGGAAAAGACTGACTGCTCTACTTCCATCTGGTAGGGGAGTGGTTTCCAGCTGTGTATGTCCTGTGTATGTAAGAAAAGACAAAGCCAACCCACCCCCAGGTGCCCTGCCAGCTCCCCCTGTCAAATGCTCGCCTCCACCGTATCAGTTCTGACCTCTAGCAATGCCTTTTATTCTGAGATGAGCTATTAAGTTGTTCCCCCTTCTCCATAATTATCTGACTTAGTTCTTGATGGTCCACAAGAACGGCATACTCAATTTCATTTCTTTGCTCTCAATTTTGTAGCTTTCGGCATGTCAGACCCTCGTCTACCTCCAGAAATGTCCCAAACTTGCATCCTCTTTAGCTCTGATTCTCTGTGCTCGTCTGACTTGCTTCCTATCATATGGGGACTTCCTCACATGGTTATCACTTTTCTTAGCAGCCTCTCCTGTCTCCCTGTGGCTTTCAAGGGTCTTCTCTGGCTCTGAAAGTCAACCAACCTTAGCAAGTTGTAGTGAAGAGAGAGTCTAAACCCATTGATCTAATACTTCCCTCTGTCCCTCTCGGTTTTGTTCTGAGTTCCTATGCTCCTTCCCTAGCTATACCTCACATTTGACTGTCTTGGGCAGGAGTTTCGATCTAACCCTGAGGATTGCCTGAACTAAGGTTCTCAAATAATGTGGAAAGTAGAGAAGTCTTCTGGAGTACAAAGTCGGGGCTTCTCTTCTCAGTTAGCCATCTCCGTTGGAGTTAGAATAAGGAAGTTGTTTCCTCTGGAAATGGCTTGGAGGTAAGTTTCACTGCGAGATGAGGAAGGAAGCCAAGACTAAAAACAGCGCTCCAGAGACAGTGAGCAACCAGGGCCTTAAACACGAGAAAGAGTATGACTACGAGGTCAGTGAATGCACTGTCTTAGTTAAGACACAAGAAATGAATAAGAAAAGTTTTAAAATGGACCTATGAGAATCATTTGCAGTCAGCAGAAGAGCTCAATGTCTATTCTGGGGTACATCGTCATAGCTGGAAGCAAAGTCATAAATAAAATAATTCCAGGATGGATGCAAGTTTTATTTTCTTTCTTCCCTTTTGCGGAAAACTAACATTTTTGGGGACTCTGACTACTAAGACTGAAGTGTTTCACAAGCATGAAGTAAAGAACAAAGGTCAATTATGATATGAGCCTCGTAACTACTCTTCTCTGAAATATTCTTAAATGTCAACTGAATCATTTGTCTAAACGGATTCTATGCTTCATCTTGCATGGTTCCATTCAGAAACCATAAAGTGACCAACCAAAACAACTCACCTAGCTTCCTGTTTCTTGTATCCTTCTGTATTCTAACAAAGTTTCATGTCAAAAAGTGAAGAATTTTTCGCACTTGGTGTCTGTCCACTGACTCTGCTTCCTTGGAGTGAGCGTTGAGGCGGAAGGACCACCTAGGAACTGCTTCTGGAATTTCCCAGCATGCCACTGAGTGGTCTCTGACAGGAGAGGAAGGTCCTTCCTTACCAAATTTTTGTTGTATTTCCACCTTA